CGAGGAAAGGAGGACCTCGGGTTTCCTTCTGCTGGGAGCTCAGGGGCTGGGCAGTCGGGCTTGGGGCCCACTGGTGAGGGGCAGCGGGGCTTCTCTGAGACCGAGGAGGAGGCGGCGTCTGATAATCGCCAGAATGGGAGTGAATGGCTTGTGGCAAATTTTGGAGCCTGTGAAGCAACACGTCCACCGCCGGAGTCTTAGTGGGCAAACCATTGCGGTTGACCTGAGTGTCTGCGTGTGTGAGGCACAGTCTGTTAGGAAAATGGTGGGGACTGTTACGAAGCCCCACCTCAGGTATAGTAAAAGTGCTTAGCATATACCTGTGACTAAAACAGCCTTGGTTTTTGTCCGGGTTTTATTTCTTGTGTCACTGGAGAGATTTTAAAACCTGATTAACATGTCTAACTCTGATGGCCCACAGACTCTTTGAGCTCCAGACTCGTGTCTACTTTTACCTAGCACATCCTCGAGGATGCTCTGATTACTAAAAGGCAGATCTTTAGGAGCCACTAGCTCACTGTTTTACCTCTCCTTTGCATCCAGTCCATCAGTAGATCTTGGCAGTTCTCCTTGCAGAACATACTTCATGTTCACAAACTTTTCTCAGTGTCCAGAAACACCACCTCAGCCTATGCCAACCTCATCTCTCGCCTGTGCTGCTGAAACCACACCGGTAGTTTCCTTTCCTCGTTCTTAGGGTTCTTCTCCAAACCATTCTCCTTCTGGCCATGATGATGGTCATAAATCTCCCATGCACAAAAGTGCTCCTTTGTCCCCTCTTACTTAGAATTAACTCACTGTTTGTCCTGTGTAATTTCTGGGTACTTTGTCTATCACACCATGTTTTTGCTGCTAATACATTATACATCAGTGATTTATATATTTCAGGAACTTATTTTTTCGTGTCTTCCATTTAATGCAAATGGATATAAGACTGGTGTTTGTCATCGAGGGGGAACCAGCAAAGCTGAAAGCTGGTGTCATGAGCAAAAGGAATCAGATGCGGTACGGGCCTTCTGGGAAAACATGGTCTCAGAGAACAGGAAGGTCACGTTTTAAGTTGGTCTTACGAGAGTGCCTTGAAATGCTGGAGTGCTTAGGCGTACCCTGGGTGCAAGCAGCAGAGGAAACTGAGGCCATGTGTGCTCACCTCAATTTCGCTGGCCATGTTGACGGCTGCCTCACGAACGACGGAGATGCTTTGCTCTATGAGGCCCAGACAGTGTACAGAAATTTCACTATGAATGCAAAGGACCCACATGTTGACTGTTATACCATGTCATCTATCAAGAATAAACTAGGCTTGGACAGAGATGCTCTGGTTGGATTAGCCATACTTCTTGGATGTGATTACCTTCCAAAGGTGTTCTGGCTTGTATTTAGATGTCCCCCAAGTGTGTAACACTGGGATTAAGGGTGCCCCACCCTGGGTGTGTGTGGATCAATCAATAGGCGTACACCCTGGATGGACTATAGAGGGACAGAAAGAAGGTGTTTCTGCTGCTTCTTCGCTGCTGCCTGCTACTCCCTGGTTGCTGCTTTGCTACCTTCTGCCCACTATAAACTGTTTCTTCTCTGCCATGCTGACTATGGAATGAGACCTTTACAAACTGAGCTGAAGTAAACCTTTCATTTTTACCTTTGGGTGTTAGGTATTTTATCTCAGCAGTGAGAAAAGTAACTAAGAAAAAATTTGATACAGAAATGAGGTTGCTGTAAGTGTACCTGACCATGTGGTTCAGGAGCCTTTGGAATTGGCTTGTGGGAAGAATTTGGAAAGAATTTTCATACCACCTGAAGAAACAGCCCTGG